AAAAAAAAAAAAAAAAAAAAAAGAATAAAGTGAGGCTGGGTGTGGTGGCTCATGCCTATAATCCCAGCAATCTGGGAGGCCAAGGTGAGAGAATTGCCTGAGCCCATGGGCTCAAGATCAGCCTGGGCAACTTGCTGAGACCTCGTCTCTACAATAAATCAAAAAATTAGCCAGGCATGGTAGCACACACCTGTAATTCAGGCTACTTGGAAGGCTGAGGCAAAGGATCATCTGAGCCCAGCAGGTCAAGGTCAAGGCTGTGGTGGCCATGAGCGTGCCAACTGCCCTCCAGTCTGGGCAACAGAGAGAGACTCTAACTCAGAAAAATAAAAATAAAGAAAGAAATGAATCAAATGTTCAGTTTTGTTCCCTTTTTCTTTCTTTTTTTTGATTCGTGGTCTCCCTCTGTTGCCCAGGCTAGAGTGCGGTAGCACAATCATGTCTCACCATAGCCTGGACCCCCGGGCTCAGGTAATCCTTCCTCCTCAATCTCCCAAGTGGCTGAACTACAGGCATCACTGTACCCTGGCTAACTTTGGATTGTCTGTGGAGGCATACTCAAGCGATCCTCCTGCCACAGCCTCCCAAGTGCTGGGACAACAGGCGTGAGCCACCATGCCTGTGAGTCTTAACTTCCAAATTTCCAGACCGCTCTTTACTCAGGCTACTCGAGTTCACGATGGCTGCGGTGGCCAACCAGTCTTTCCGGCAGAGCGCTGTCAGCATCACCCAACAGGGGCCTGCGTTTTCCCTGTTTTCCAGCTCCAGGGATCCTCCTCGCCCCCACCTCAGGGCCAGGGGAGGCCCACAGGGCGGCCGATATCAAAGCACAATCACCGCTGGTTCCCACGACACTGGAGCTGCCACCCTGCGACACTGGAGCTGCCACCCCACCCACAGGCCAGCCATGGCCAGGTCCCGCGCTCCCGAGGGCAGAGCCTTACCGGGCTGGACAGTGTCCCTGCAGAGTCGCTGCTGCCGCCACCGCCGCTGCCTCGCTCACAGCAGATCTCGCGGATGACACACAGGGCCAGGCTCTCGTCGAACGACAGCGAGCGGCTGTCCGACCTGTGCCGCTTCCTCTGGCGCTCGCCGGGCGGCTCCTCGGCGCTCTCTTCTGCACAAGGAGGGAAAGCAAACTGCTGACGGCAACAGGCTGGGATGCGAGCCCAAGTCCTCGGTGGAGCGGAAACTCAGCTCCAGGAAAACTGAACAGAGAAACAGGGAGTGCTGCCAAAGTTGCCAATGCCAACCCTGCTCTGAGTCTGCCCAAGTGAGGCTTGCAGAACGCCGTGTTTTTAAAACCATTCTATTCTTTTTCAGACCTTGATTTCCCGAAGTCACAACTGATGTAATTCGTCTAAAAGCTGTTATTGCTTATGCCCGTCATCCCAGCACTTAAGGAGGCCGAGGCGAGAGGACTGCCAGAGGCCAGCAGTTCGAGGCCAGCCTGGGCAACTTGGCGAGACCTCCTCTCCACAATAAATCAAAAAATCAGCCAGGCCACATGGTGATGGTGTGCATCTGTGGTTCCAGCTACTTGGAAGGCTGAGGAGGAAGGATTGCCTGAGCCCAGCCAGTGGAGGCTGCAGTGGCCGCGAGCATACCACAGTACTCCAGCCTGGGCCACAGAGTGAGATGCTGACTCAAAAATAAATAAATATAAAATAAAGGTTTTATTAATCAATCTAGGATTTTTCTGTCAAACCAACCTTTAGGATATAAGGCTCCATCTTTTTCTTTTTTTAAAAGAACAAAAATATTTAATTTACTTAGCAGGTACTCTTAATATTTAAATTCCTTCAGTACCCTGTATTTTCAGCAGAAATCAAAATCGATGGCGAAAACTGTTAGTTTTATTTTAAATAACAAATTATCTGACTTAAAACTTTAGAAAGCTAGTCAAATGTGTCAGACATAAATCAGAGACCTCCTTTAAACCAGACATAAAAATAAGTTCCGAGTGGATTAAAGAACCAAACACAAAAAACAAAACCATTTGAGTACGGAGCAGAGAACACTCCTGTAAGACCAAGTGGGAAAGTATTTCATAACACTGCAGAGCTCTAAGAAGAGAACCAAGACCAGACCATGCTAAGGCTGATGTGGCAAAATAATAATACCACAAACAACTCAGCGGCAGATGTCAGACTAGCAGACTTTCTTTGCCACACACCGAAGAGAGTATCATAATAAGTCCTGCCAGACCAAGACAGACTCGATTTGTTTAAAAAGTCGACAATAGCCGGGCTCGGTGGCTCAGCCTGTAATCCCGCGCCTTTGGGAGGCTGAGGTGAATGGATTGCCTGAGCCCACGGGTTAGAGACCCACCTGGGCAGGGAGACCTCATCTCTACAATAAATCAAAAAATCAGCCGGGCGTGGTAGCGCATGCCTGTAATTCCGGCTACTTGGAAGGCTGAGGCGGAAGGATCGCTGGAGCCCAGCAGGTCGAGGCTGCAGTGGCCGGGAGTGGCCACTGCATTCCAGTCTGGGCGACAGAGTGAGACTCCAACTCAAAAAAATAAAAAATAAAAAATAAATAAATAAAAAGCCGACAATAGGAAAAGAGTCCTAAGAGAAACAAAAGTGGCCAATAAAGGTGCGAAGAGTCTCCTGCCCCTGGGGCCAAGGGAACGCAGCCAGCGAGGCGAGAGGCGTTTCACACAAGAGCGGCCAACCTCGGGCCAACCTAGGACAAGGCGGCGCCAGGAAGCTCCGAGAGCGAGGACGCTCACCGCGCGTGGGGACATCCCCACGCCAACCGGGGTGGCTTCCGCGGCATTGCCCTCTCTCTCCACCCCAGAGCCCACCCACGCAGCTGCTTAGGTGGCTCCTGGCGGCCCCACTTCCGCTTCGCAGGGCCTGGATGAGGGGGACCCACCATGGCCTGCACACACAGTGCCCTCTCTCCTCTCAGTGTTCCCTCTCACCCTGCCCAGAGGGCGTCCTTCCTCCTCCCAATTCCCAAACACTGGGCTTTTGTGTTTCATCTCCACCACCAGGCCACACACACGTTCCTGCTGCAAGCTCTTAATCCCGTTTGCATCCCCTATAAAAAGGGGGTCTTGGCTGGATGATGTGGGCTGGAAGCCTAAGCCATGTTGTTGAGCGATTATTTTTACCTCTGCTAACACTGATCATGACAAGTAATATATTACTCACTGCAGAGATGGAAAGAAAACAGAAGGAAAAATATGTAAATCACCTGTAATGCTACCAATGAGTAAGTTTTAACATTTTAACAGCTCACCAGTTCTCACTCATTTGGCTTTTTCCTTCTTAAACAAACATTCGAGGCTGGGTACAGTGGATCAAGACTGAAATCCCAGCACTCGAGGCGAGAGGACAGCCTGACCCAAAGTTCGAGACCCACCTGGGCAACATGGCGAGACGTCATCTCTACAATATATCAAAAAGTTAGCCGGGTGTGATGACACATGCCTGGGTGTCAACTACCTGGAAAGCTGAGGCAGAAGGATCACCCGAACCCAGCAGGTCGAGACTATAGTGGCTGTGAGTGTGTCTCTGCACTCCAGCCTGAGCAACAGAGTAAGATTTCATCTAAAAAAAAACCAACAAAAAAACCAGCCTGGCTCGGTGGCTCAGCCTGTAATGCCGCACCTTTGGGAGGCTGAGGTGAGTGGATTGCCTGAGCCCGCGGGCTCGAGACCCGCCTGGGCAGCGAGACCTCATCTCTACAATAAAATAAAAAAATCAGCCGGGCGTGGTAGCGCATGCCTGTACTTCCGGCTACTTGGAAGGCAGAGGTGGAAGGATCACCGGAGCCCAGCAGGTCGAGGCTGCGGTGGCCGGGAGCGGCCACTGCACTCCAGTCTGGGCGACTGAGTGAGACTCCAACTCAAAAAAAAAAACAGAAACCCCAAAACAGCCAACAACAACTTTGGTTCACATATCTGTACCACTTAAGTGTGTTGCCTCTTAAATATTCTTTTTTTTTTCTTTTTATTTGTTTTTTGGGGTTTTTTTTTTGAGTTGGAGTCTCACTCTGTCGCCCAGACTGGAGTACAGTGGCCGCTCCCGGCCACCGCAGCCTC